AAAAAAAAAAAAAAAAAATTCTATTACTAATTCAAAAAGAGCATTTACTAATGCATACCTGTGTAAAGTCTTATAGAAGAGTAAAAAAAATAAAAGAACCCCAAAGTTATTATTTTTCCTTTTAATAAATCACCTATCAAACCACCTCTTCCCAAAGCCCTCCATCATATTGTACTTCTGCTATTCTGAAGAATCCAGAGAGGTGGGGTGTAGCAGCTCTCGCCTGTAATCCCAAATCCTAGCTTGTTGGGAGGCTGAGGAGGGAGGACTGCTTGAGGCCAAGAATTTGAGACCAGCCTGAGCAAACAGCGAGAGAGACTCTGTCTCTACAGGAAAAAAAACCAGAAAACTTAGACAGGTGTGGTGGTGTGTGCCTGTAGTCCCAGCTGTTTGGGAGGCTGAAGCAAGAGGACCGCTTGAGCTCAGGAGTTAGAGGTTACAGTGAGCTATGACGACACCACTGCACTTTAGCCCAGAAAACAGTGTGAGACCCTGTCTCAAAAAAAAAAAAAAAAAGTTACCAAGAAAAAAAGCTAGTTCTATTAAATTTAGCCAAAAAAAAAAAAAAAAGAGAGAGAGAGAGAGAGAAATAAGTAATTTTTTTCTTTATAACTTCCTCTCATCCAGCACCAATAACTTTAGCTAGTATTGTACTCTCAGACTTTCTTGTTTTGATATGGTAATCCTTGCATTCTTTTTTTCACTTTAAATATAGACAAATGAATGCTGCTTCTTTAAGGAATTGGACTCTCCATTCCACTGACAGCTAAGAGGAATTATGAATTTAAAGAGCACTCTATATAAACAGTGGGTTAGAAACACAGATCTAATAATGATATTTTATCAGTATTTCTAAAATTATTTCAAAAACACATTGAACTTTAAATACTAAAATAAGTACAGACAAAACATACATTTTAGGTTGCAGTTTTTCCATTAAAGAGTCTTCTTTAATACATTCATCTATTCGGTAGTAGCCTTGTCTCGTATATACAGTTGTAGCAACCTTAGGACAAAATATGATTTAAAAAAAAAAAGACAGAAAATCATTCATTAAATTGTTTAGCCAGAATCTAAACAACTACTTAAGTGTGCCATTCATAGGCAAAGTTAATGATGACCCCAAGGACCCTGAAATCCCCTTTAAATCAACAAGAAAATTGTGCTTATGTTTTTACTCTATTTTAATTTCTGTAAGAAATCAGTAATTTTGCCACTATTAATTAAATTAATTAAGACACTTCATCCTACCATAATTTTAAAGGAACTACTTGCAACAATACTTTAAAAATTTACCGTAAAAATTTTTAGTGATATCTTAAGATATGCTCAAAACTCTAAAAATATTTAGGAATAAATTTAACAAGAAAAATATAAGCTCTCAGTAAAGAAAACTAAAAAAAATTTATCAGAGGTCATAAAATGAGAACCGAATAAATGGAGAATCATGCCAGGTTCCTGGAGATAAAGACTGAATATCCTAAAATCCATCAAATATAAAATTAATACAATTCTAAAGCTCATATGAGAAAATACGGCGTACAATAATTACAAAAATTTTAGCATACAATTCATTAGAGATTGGAAAAAGTGTTACTTTTAACGAATCACACTGGAATAATATTTAATGCCCCTACCCACCAAAATGGGGGCTAAAAATTAATTTCTATGGCTTCCTGGTTTATTGCACTTTGGCTTGGCACTTCATAGTAAGAGGATAATGTTACTATCAGCAGATTGGATGCAGGACATTTAAGTAAACATTAAATACCACTGATTTAAAAGATTTCAGTTAAAAACCGTAAAAAGATTCTTAAGCTGTAACATATATGATAAAGGTTTTATTTTTCCCCCATAGCCTGTCATTTAAATTTTATTTACGATGGTGTTTTTGCTTGTTTTTGTTGCTTGTAATAAATGAAAAAATG